TATCGACTATTACTGTTGCACGCCTTGTTCAAATGTTGTACAAACAGCAAGTGCTTAACTCTGTTGTATATTCAAACAGCTGAACTACATGTTCATAGAAACATGACTCGCTGTTTGAAAGTCACAAACTTAAAGAGCTCTGATGTACTCACAGAAAACCCAGACACAACGCAAGGTTTGGTCCATCTTCACATCCAAAACGACAATGAAACTCTGACGCTTAGTTTTAAAATAAAACATTAACTTTACATTTCTAAAATGCAGAAGGAAAAGGAGAAAGACAAGTAACAGTTCATTAAATGTGAGAGCAGAGTTTCTCTCGGACTTCTGTCTCTGTACTTCCTTCTCTATACACAAAATTCTAAGAAGTGCCAACTCATACCAACCTCTTTACACTTCCTGTCTACTGCTCGAATAAGAAATGAGATAAGATCCTGTGCAGGGTCCAAAATTAACTTTTTGACTCACCGGCCAAGGTGGCAGGTAGATGAAAAACTTCACCGTCCAAACATATTTCTTTACCGGCCAAATAACAAATTTTGTTTTTTGTCCTGTAGCAATCTGTTACAGCACATTTAATTGAGAAGACATTATGTTTGTTTAATCAATAACAATTTAAGTCACAGATTCGATATGTATCAGATCAGGAAACTGAGAAATTGTAAAAAAATATATTTGCTGGCTTTGTTTTTTGTATTATTTGTAGGCAGTAGTTCCTAGACCTAAAACAGTGTGTGTGTGTGTGTGTGTGTGTGTGTGTGTGTGTGTGTGTGTGTGTGTGTGTGTGTGTGTGTGTGTGTGTTGTGTGTGTGTGTGTCTGTGTGTTGTGTGTGTGTGTGTGTGTGTGTGGGTGGTGTGTGTGTGTGTGTGTGAGAGTGTCTGTGTGGTGTGGTGTGTGTGTGTGTGTGTGTGTGTGAAGTGTGTGTGTCTGTGTGTGTGTGTGTGTGTGTGGTTGTGTGTGGTGGTGTGTTGTGTGTGTGTGTGGTGTGAGAGTGTGTTGTGTGTGGTTTGTGTCTGTGTGTGTCTGTGGTGTGTGTGTGTTTAGCTTTGTCAAATTAGAAACTTAATATAATCAGCCTGTTCATTATTGGACGTTTTTCTCATGAACTGGAAGTCGAGAAAAAAATCAACATTGCACATTGTAAAAACTTACTCACTGAATATATATCAATGGAAACTAACTGCCTCACTCAGAAATCAAACTGCTGAATTTGAATATGTCTGGAACCCAATAATCAACAACCTCAACTCATAACTACCCCCACAACATCCACCATCAACTCTTTCTTCTGTGCACCAATCACACCAACACACACACACACACACACACACACACACACACACACACACACACACACACACACACACACACACACACACACTTTATAAGTGACTGCATTTTCATACACTTTTATTTTTTCTCAACCAACCCCAAAACCCCGGCTGCAGTCAACTTCCGCTAAAACTTAATCATTACACAAAATCTCACTTCTCACACCACAACTTGCTTAACATCAACATATTCAACACATACCACTGCTCACCTCTCAAGTCCCTTACTAAGCACCTTCTCTCTCTCCACTTCTCTCCCTCCTTCTCTCTCTCTTCTTCTCTCTCTCTCTCTCTCTCTCCTTCACTTTTTCTATCCTTTCTTAGGTATTTCATATAATTTTGTAGTTTTTCTGTTCGTAGTATGATGTGTGTTATGATGTCTTATTTTGCTGTCTTTATTGTCTTATTTTTATTTTTTTTTACTGTATTTTGGAGCCGTTGTCCACTGTCTGTTTGTTTTTTTGTGCCTCATTTGTATCATCCAGTTTTGTCACTTTATTGCACAATAAAATAAAAAATAAAAAAAAGTATCCAGTAACAAATCATTTGAAATTTTGATCTGATGATGCTCAATAAAAATTGAAAGAGGAAAAAAAAAAAATGATTGGACGTGTGTATATCTTGACTGCTCCTGTGCACGTGACAGAAGAGAAAAGTGGAGCGTGCATTTGCGTCCTAGCATATCAAAGTGTTTGTAACGCAGCGCTGTTTCACAGAGTCTGTGTGGAGATGTTCACAGACTTATGACGTTGCTATCGCTAAGTTAGCTGCAGACACGGTGAGAGTGAACGGAGAATAGTCACGGATCACTGTTTTCTTGACTCGGTCCGTACGGATCACCGATCAACTGTTTGCTGAAGCACTAGAAGTAAACAGGTCGCGTGGTGGCGCTTGGCAGGTGTTAATTTCGGACCCTGCTTGTAGGATTTCATTTTCAGGTTTTTGATGGATTCAAAGTAAACCAAGTTCAGGAAACTAATAAATATGATAGCGCCTTGAAGGTGCACCGCCTACTGTACAACAAGTGTAACCTCATGTCATTTACCTGTTCTTTAAATTCTGCTGCCAACCTTGTGTTAACATAAGAGACCCTCCCTACAGCTCCTATCCTCTCTGAATTTAAATCCCAGGGTCATCTTATTCATTAATAATAATGACTGCAACCTGCTACCAAAGAGAAACAAATATCTAAAATGTCTCGATCAGGGTGAAAACATGCATCAAATCATGGCTAAGGCTAACGGCTAAAAACAAAACAGGTGACCTTTTACATCCTGTAACATTCAGTCTCATGTTATAGGCCATACCTTATATGAATGATGCAATGACTGTAGCTTAATCAACAAAGATATAATTAAGTGAGTACAGTGAATGTCGTGAGTGTAATCACTGGAACAATGCCCAGTGAGGTGGAGTCAATGGATCAGTATATGAAGGAGCTCACACACACACATACACTGTCACTGGACTTTTCTGAGAGCAAAAAATTCACATTTAGCTTACTGACATGATTCTCTTTTTCTCCCCTCCTTCAGATATCAACTTGCCAACGAGCCAAACTCACAGATCGAAGACAGCCAAGCGAGCTGCAGGAGACATGTACAGGTGTGTGTGCGTTCATGACGTTTGAAACCAAACATTCAAGCACTCAGACAGACTTTGTGATGCTTCTAATAATGCTGTTGTTAATGTTGCTACCTGTCTCTGCTCTCTCCTCAGTCATCTATTGATTCTGGAGTATGATTTCAAAGAGATTACTATGATCGGTAAATATTCTCTTTCTCTTTTTTTGTATTTTCTCGTGTTTCTGAAGTTCTTACTTATGTGTATTTGTATGTCAGGATGTATCCTATAGCCGGGTACCTCCCCCCTCCCCCCTCTGTCCGAGCCGTCGTCCCTCGAAGCGCCCGCGGTCAGTCTAAGCGGAGGGGGCAGCCGACGGACCAAACCAGCTTCTCCTCCTCAAAGAACAGCCAGAGGACGTCAGGAATGGTGAGTATCACGGCTCGTGTCACGTTCACACAGCTTCACTCTACTCGCCTAAATACTTCTCTCTCCTGCGTTTCCCCCACCACAGCAGTGAAGAGCGACGACTGCAGGCCATAAAGAGAGAGCTGACGCAGATCAAACACAGGGGATACCTGCTGGAGAGCCTGGAGCGCATGGAGAAGGACCACGGCAAAGAAAGTCAGGTGAGGATCAGTGAGGGGGTTCAAATGCAGATCAGATTTTAGGGGTTTCCTGTAAGACTTTTCTACAGGGGCAAATGAAGAGGAAGAGACTCGAGGGTCACGACTACAGTGTCGACGAGGGCTGCACATTTTGAAACAAAGTTCCTGATAATACATGAATGGAAGAGGAGGGGGAGGAGGAGAAGAGAGAGGAGGTCAGGAGGAAGAGGAAGAGAGGAGGAGAAGGGAGGAGGGGGAGGGAGGAGGAGGAGGGAGGAGGAGGGTGAGGGGAGCAGGAGGAGGAGGAGGAAGAGGAGGAAAGAGGGGAGGAAGGAGGAGGAGGGGAAGGGGGAGGGAGGAGGGAGGAGAAGAGGGGGAGGGGAGGGTGAGGAGGAGGAGGAAGAGAGAGAAGAGGAAGAGGAGGAAGAGAGAAAGGAGAGGAGGAGGGAGGAGGAAGAGAGAGCAGGAGAGGAAGGAGGAAGAGGAGAAGAGGAGGAGGGAGAGGAAGAGAGCAGAGAGGAGAGGAGGAAGAGGATGAGAGGGGGAGGAGAGAAGAGGAGAGGAGGGGAGGAGGAGGAGGGGAGATGAGGAGAGGAGGGGGAGGAGGGAGGAGGAAGAGGAAGAGGAGGAGGTGAAGGACAGGAGGGAGGAGGAAGAGGAGGAGGAGGAGGAGGAGGAAGAGACGAGAGGAGATGAAGAGGAAGAGGAGGGGAGGAGGAAGAGGAGGAGGAGGAAAAGAGGAGGCAGAGGAGGAAGATGAGGAGAGGAGGAGGAGGAAGAGGAGGGAGGGGGAGCAGAGGGGAGGAGGAAGAGGAGGAGGAGAAGGAGGAGGAAGAGAGGGGAGGAGACATTGGAGGAGGAGAGGAAAGAGGAGGAGGAGGAGGAAGAGGAGGAGGAAGAGGAGGGGGAGGAGAGGAGAGGAGGAGGAGAGAGGAAGAGGAGGGGAGAGGGGAGGAGGAAGAAGAGGAGGAGAAGATGAGGAGGAAAGGAGGGAAGGGGAGAGAAGAGAGGGGAAGGAGGAGGAAGAGGAGGAGCAGGAGGTCGAGGACGAGGTGAGGAGGGAGAGGAGTCCAGATAACAGGTTTTTTTGTTGAGGGGAGGGGCTTTTATGACTTTATGAGTAGGAAATGGGAGAGAGAGAGAGGACTTCAGCCTTTGTACATGGGGAGTGCAAACTAACCACTAGGCCACTAGTGCCCATAACAGTGATTTTTTTACCAAACTGGTTGTTTGTAGTAGTTTTCAGTCTTTTGATTAATTTGCAGATTGAGGTGTGCCGGTGGCCTAAGCGGTTGGTGTGCGCGCCCCACGTGCAGAGGCAGTGGTCCTCGAGGCGGGCGGCCCAGGTTCGAATCCGACCTTTAGCCCCTCCTGCATGTCATTCCCCACTCTCTCTCTCTCTCTCTCTCTCTCCCCGGTTGCTGACTATAAACTGTCCTGTCTCTAAGGATAGGGGCATAAAAAGCCCAGAAATAATTTAAAAAAGAAGTTTGATGAGTGAGTCCGTTATGTCCATAAGTGCCAGAAGATAATATCCCAGAATCCTCTTTTCTTGTGGGCAGTAATCTGAAACCCTGCTGCTCTTTATACGTCAAAAACAAATATTCAAACATCTCGTTTGTGTCGAGTGATTAAAGACTAATGAGTGATGTTTGGACTTCTCAGATGAAAAGCAGAGGGCAGGATGAGGACGAGGAGGAGGAGGAGGAGGAGGAGGAAGGAGAGGACGACGGGGACAGCGCCAACGGAGACGACTCCTAAACACTACACAGTCAGACCGACACACACACACACACACACACGTATACAAAACTAAGTGTGTGTGATTACATTTCTTTCACCTGACTCAAACGCAGTGGCTACACGCTCACATGTGCTGAGCTGACTGGACATTTGTGTCGATCATTGAAGATATCTAACACTGGAAACATTTCACCAATCTATGACGTACGTTTTGAAAGGATTTTCCTGTTTTTTTTCTTCAGTATTCATAATTCAATATCCCCCTCCTTTTTTTAAAAATGTTGTTTTTGTTGTTGTTGTATTTGATGTTTTGCTTGGATATTTTTGGCCTCTGGAGAAATATAATGTCTTGTCTGTTACGAAAAGATAAACCCCAAATTGAGTGGAGAATAAAGGTCACATTTTAACACTAAATCTAAAGAAGAAAAGAAGCTTCATTGAATATTAGGAAATTGATGCCATAAATGTAAATTTGCTAAAAGATTAAGTTAAAAAAAAAAATCCATTCCTTTGACAGCAGAGCAGGCTTGAAATTCTATAAAATATGTTACTGCTGCACATCTTCCTCCTCACCAGCAGGTGGCAGTTATCCCCACAACAGGCAAAACAAAACGCAGCAGTTACTTTCTTCTGTGGATCACAGAAAAATCTTCATCTTCTGCTTGTCAGATAACAACATGAGCATGTATAAAAAAAAACTCACGTCGGACTGCACAGACGCTCAGAGAGAAGCCTCATTGCTATGGAAACGGCTGTTTGTCCCTGAGGTGTTACGACCTTTAACTGACCTTGACTTGTGTAATGCAGTGCTACTCCATGTTTGTCTGTTTCTGTTGATGTTTTGTTTGACTGCACTGGTTTAAAGTGAATAAAGATGTTTTCTAAGTTGGCGGAGCTTTTGGTTTTCAATTAACGAAGATGCATTAGGTGCAGTGTGAAACTGTGGGTCATAAGGGTGTTGGGGGGGGCTATATAAATGTTGAATGGATGCAAACCAATGTCTTTACCTGTAAGTTAGAAGAATGGTCATTTCCATTTCAAGCTAAAAGAAGAACCGAGGAGCTGAAACACCTCTAGCTTGTTTGTCCACTACTTCATCACCTTCATTGACTTCAAAACAAACAGCTTCCTTATTAATATACATTATTCTGCCGGGAGTCTACAAAGGCCTTGGAGCTCGGTAATGAAGGCCGGAGCAGAAAGCTGGCAGGAATGAAGAGGAATGCAAAGAGGAAAGAGGGATAACTAATCAATACAGAGCAGCCTTCAGGATGAACTGTGATTAATGAGGGGACAAACACAAAGGGGGGGGGGTAATGAGAGAATGGATGGATGGAGGATGGATGGATGGATATTAGTGAATACCAAATATGCATCATGCTGTTTTTTCTGTATATTATTAATGTTGCAACTGCACTTCATCATACATGTTATATTTGTGTGTATGCATTAACCATGTATCTAAATGTATATCAGACTGTTTATACTGGTTATATTGGTTATACAGTTTTATCTCAGCATGTTTTAACTACTGTACCACTTATTGTTATTCTAATTAGAACCCCGACACATTTTACTAACATTACTTAGACTGCACCTAAGATCTTCCTGCACTTTAAGTTAGATTGTAGAACTGCATCTTAACTGTCTCAGTTTTTACACTCACAGTTACAGTAAAGCCGTCTAGTCTCTAACAGACAGGTGTACATACCATGCAGGCAGACCTCAAACAGCAGCAGAGCACTGAATGTAAAAAAGCATCTCAAATATCGGATGCGATCAGCGGCCATCTCTGCAGGGAGGAACGTCTGTTTCCTCTTCTTTGCTGAATCGCAAAAAAAAAAGGACAAGGCAGGAAGTAGAGCATGCAGTCTGACCAGACCTGATACTTTATTGTTAGCAGAGCGGAATAAGGGTTAAACATTTTATATCAATGTTTTCTTTTAACCCGCTGTGTGCTGTCCACATACAGCATTAGCTTCTTTATCCACACAGTTTGACCTTAGTTTATGTTACAATGCACATCAGTGATGAGCAAACAGCACTTTATTTTAAATGCAGCATCTTCAGTAATTATTTATGGTCAGAAGAGTCACATACAGGTTAGTTAACATCTTCATCTGCTCCAAATCTTGTACAGCTCATACTACAGCAGGACAACAGAAGAAGGATGAACAGAAGGGGACATAAGGGAAATGAGCTTGTTGCTGTCGACTGTGCTCATGGATTATATTTGGACACACGGTGGCAGTGCTGCCTCAAACAAGAGACCCAGTAGGAGCAATGAAGAAAATCAGGGGGCAGCAAAAGCAGCACCAGACGGACCAAAATCCACCACTCACAATCACTATTCATTCTGCATCTTCATTAAAACTCCTGACAAAGAAGCCATCAAAGACCTCACTGTTGTAGGTCAGGTCATCTAAATAAGTCCAAACCAGAAAGCCAAGCAAGCCTTTCAACCTGCTCCTTTACTCATGTCCACCTCACTAAAAATAAGAACGACCCCCAAATATCATTTTTTTCTTAATCTGTGAGACTCTCATTTTTCTGTTTGGGTTAGGGTTTCTGTTTAATACAAGAATGCAACATTAATTAAAGTTGGAAGCTTTAAAGTGTGTTTCTTCTTAACAACCAAACAATGAAAACCATTAACTGGATAAGTAGGCTAGAAAATGTGCCCAATATTGAGGATTCATTTACTTTTTTTTTCTTTTGGAGGGGGATTTATTTTTGTTTGTATGCGTACCAAAAGTTGCTAACATTGCTCAACCTGTTTATAACAGAGACCGTTTATCCTCTGCTGGACCGGCCACCTTTAAAAAAAACATTTTACCAAGAGTATACCCCCTTCTTTAGACACCAACACACCACTGTGTTTACCTGATTAAAGGTGTATCCATGAAGTGGAGATAAATACTGTTGTTTACAGGCAGAGTGGCTGCTGTGTCACAGAGTTAGTGCAAAGCTCAAAGAAAAGTAGGAGCTTAAAAAAAGTCAACCTAGCTGCTGATGGGAATGAAACATCTAACCATTATTTTACCTCAAAGTTACAAAAGATGCAACGCAGAGCTTAACCGTCTAAAACTCTGTGACCCCCTTAGACCCTCGAACCTTTCACAAGAAAAGAGAAATTCATAGAAACCAACAACTTTCAAAAAAAAAATGGGAAGAGCATTTCAGAAAGTTTCCTATCAATGAAATCTTACCTCAGTAGTTCATGATTTCCTGTTTAAACTCATAAGTGGGTTGACTTCCTGCAAACATTAAGAAAACAGTATACTGTCAAGGTAACTGTTAAGGACAGGTTTACCATTGGTACATAGTATAACATCTTTAATGGTTTTCTAATATATTCCAGGGTTAAAGTTTTTTTCTTTAGGGTTTTAAGCCATTTGGTGAGGTTAAGAAAATAACATGAAACTGAGCAAAGAAACATTTAAAAAGACGATTGACAGCTTGGTGTTATGAAAAAAAAAGTTTATTGTTGCATAACATAAAACTAGGAGCAATCATGTTAAAAAAAAGAAGAAAAAAAAGGCAGCAGATAAAAGCTATGTATAAACAAAGCACGTCTCAAACACAACACAACACACTTTTCTTCATGGACCGAGAAGAAAATCAGAGAAAAGTGATGAGAAGTTATTCAAAAGGTTCAATAGATTTTGTAGTTTCAAAAATCCATCACACACACACACACACACACACACACACACACACACACACACACACACACACACACACACACACACACACACACACACACACACACTGTGCATGGTTTGATTCTTACCAGTAGGTGTTCCTCTTTTGACTTCAGAAGAAACCGTTTCATGAGACATCTTTTCTACAAATGAACAGATGATTCGTTCTTCAATAACAACTCAGACTGAACTGAACAGATGTTGATCTAGATCATAATCTAAGTAGAGAACACCAACAGTATGGGAAAGCTGAAACTAACACAGTAAACATGTCCGACTCTGATATCTGCATGTGTATGTAGTTTTCATGTACAGTTAAGAATATGCATGAAACAGGCAATATAACATATTTGACATATTTTCATGTAAAGAAAGACGTTTGCAATAGAATGCAGTTTCTGTGATTAGGGAAAGTTAGAAATCTGTTGCAAAGCTATTCGCAACAGACTTCTCAAATTTGCCAAGCAAGACCAAAGAAAAGCGAAACAACAGGAAGGTCAGTTCAAATGTATGCCCTCTGTAAAAAAATAAAACTGGCTCAGGCAGAGGAAAAAAAAACTCTCTTAGGAAGCGATAAATATCAATAATCAAAGTTTAAGAGTTGGACGATGGTTGACTTCTATTGGTCGCGACCTGAGATGACTAAGCCAATTCAAAGAAAGCTCATTCCCATGAAGAACCTCGAGTCATTTCAAATATACCAAAATGTTCATTCAAAATAAAGTCTGGACTTGTGTATGTTATGTTTTTGTAGCTGCAGGTGATCCTATCTTCACTTTGGAGTAAACAGAGCTCTCCTCCTCTGGTTCATTTTGCAGACCTGATCAGATGAATAACAAATAAACAAGATTTTTATTTTCAAAAACAGATCGGCATCACATTATAAAATCCAAAGGCTTTTGTTTGAAAGAATATTAAATATTGTAAACACAAATTAAATGAATACATTAACTTAGGTTCAGAAGCAGGACCACGGCCAGCCGTCCCACTCCACCCTCTTTGTCTCGATTCTTTAACCCACCCTCCCTTCCTCTCATCCCTTCACCCACCTTCCTCATCCCTTCACCCACCTTCCTCATCCCTTCACCCTCCTTCCTCATCCCTTCACCCTCCTTCCTCATCCCTTCCTCTCGTTTGTCTAATTCTAGGAACAATCCGGATCGTGATCAGCTCGGCCAGAATTACGTCTGAGACAGAACCCCCATCCTGAGTCTCCCTCTGCCCTGCAGTCAGTCAATCCTTCAAGACCAGCCAACTGACAACATCTCTTCTTCTTCTTTTAATATTGTGCTCTTACTGTATCTCAAACACCTTCATGATTTAAAGACTTAAATAAAGGTTGGTGACCATGATTATACCGATATTCTTTTTCGAGCGTTGCAGCGTTGATGAAGCTGTAATGAAGGCGGACCTGGTCTGAAACACGAGTACTCACCTTTACCTCTGTTTTTAAACAGAATCAAAGAGTACGTCACATCGTTGGATTCATCTGCATCTGGAATAAACACGAGAAGATGACTCACCATCTTAAATCAAGGTTACAGTATGTCTATATTAAAAGTTTAACAGAGCAATTTTAACTGTGCTGGGGTCTTTTGACTGAATTAATGATAAAACTATCCCCATTACTTTAAAGATATTTACACATCTGCTTCATTCTTACTGTATTATTAGCCTCATGTTTACTCAAAAAACATTTTTGACAGACTGATTAGTAGTTTTTAGTTCCTATGTTAATGAATAATTAATCAGCCTCAAGTGTTTCTAAGAAATGATGAGGTCTTGAAGATGTATTTTTGTGATATTGACCATTGAGAGACCCTCTACCTTGAGTCTGGTTCTGGTTGACCACGTCATCTGCAGCTGGGCTCTGATTGGTTTTCTGAGACTTTGAGGGTCTAAAAATCCTGAGAACACAAAGGTTAAAGATCCTGTCAAAACGTCAAACAGACATGAGAAGAAACATCTGCACTTTTAGGTTCTAGAGGGAGAAGCGTTTTACCGACCTGGTGACGAATGTATCTGAAAGAAAAAAGGCATTTCTTGTTAAATTGTTTAATATTTCTGAATTGATCATTTTCTCTAAGTTTTGTATGTCTTTGAAAATGATCAGGACTCACTCGTTGACTTTCTGTAGCAACACAGCAGCAGCAGGAGCATCAGGGTTAAAAGGGAAAAAAACAGTCCAAGGACCAATGGCAGAGGAAAGGAGGAACCTTCAGAGCTGGACACTGCCAAAATAAAAGAACAAAATGGTTATTTGTCAGGACATTTTATAGATTGCTTCCACATGTGTAACTGACAGGTACTATTATGTACAAGATACAATTAAATGTTTATCTATGAACTTATTTAACCAATTTATGTAGGTTTCCTTTTAAAGGTCTTATTTAAGGGAGCAATATGTCTCTAGTGTTAAAAATGGGTACTGCAGTCCAAATTCAGCCACCTCCTCCCTAGAGTTGATACACAAGCCGAGTTAGAATAACACAAACACTGAAGCTTCAGTGTTTATCCAGCTCTGCATCGGTCTGTAAACCTTTCTGTGTTCTAACCTCTCTCCATTTTTCTAAAAGCATCTCCTATATTGATCCTAGTTTGAGCACGTTTCTGCTCGTGGAGCTTATTAGAAACATGCAGAGGCTTTTAAGGTCGGGCACAATCACTTCTATCTGAACCAGTTCTGTTGCTCGCTTCCATCACTGAAACACCTGTTGGTTTACCGTTTGCCTGGCAAACCGAGGGGCGTCCAAAACGGCTGTGTGGGGGTGCCTTAAAACCGCTATACCTTCTCTGGTCCAAATAAAAATACAGACCAGTCAGAGAAGCCAGCACTTCAACATATCATGTTTCCTTAATGCCTGATGATATAGTAAGTCCTTTAATCATTTCATTCAGTAAATATCTTACATATGACTCCTTTAAGGCGTCATGTAACATTACTCTATCTGTCTAATATAAATTAGAAACACAATCTGTATAAGAGACTTTAAAAAACAATCGTTTCGCAAATTAGATTAAGATAAAAAACAAAACATTACTTTGAAAAGTGATGTTGACTGCATTGCTGAATTGGCCTGATGCAGTCTCACACCAGTACACGGCTGTCTTTTTTGGAGGGTTTGTGATGTCACACGTCGAATTTTTCATTGTCCCCCATTCAGAGCAGGTTGACCGATGGCCTTTTTCAGTTAATCTCATCACCCTCCATTTAGAAGAGTTTCCCTCGCAGCTCAGTGAGACATTCTCTGAGGAAACGTGCTGGCCTCTGTCAGGAGGACTCACTTTGATTGAATTTGGATGAATTTCTGAAAAGATAAGAAAAAGTGAAGGGTCAAATCCAGCACAGAGTTTGTAGTTTAATGAGGAAGGTACGGTGAACGGCAAGTTTTGACAGTCTTTAAATACCGACTCCATCTTATTGGCTCTCTTTAGCCGTTCTCACAAATACACTCCTGAAAATATCCAGAGGACTGCTCCGGATATTCTCCTGACCTGGCTGTTCACATGTACACCTCACAGCGGGAGACTTTCCCTGTCAGACAGGAGGGCGGGCGGGACGTGGAAGTAGCGGTCGGAGCAACAGAGTCCGCTATACGACGTCACAGTATAGAAACCTCACTCCGCCCCTCCTATTGGCTCGAGGTGAATTCTCCGGAGAATATCCTGCTGCGTTCTCACATCAGCCCACCCGGACTTGCTGCAGAAAAAAATACTAGGAGGGCTGGCCGGAGAAACTCTGTGTGAGATCAGAGTGAAAAATGTGGCTGTTTGCGTTCACACATGCAGCTCCTCCTGGAAATGTCAGGAGTTTTTCAGGAGTTTTCTGCAAGTGTTAACGCCCTATTTGTGAATTCAGCACCATCCACCTTTCTGTTCTAAACAGACAGTATTTGATATTGAAAATATCTTGATATTGATTTGTATGTAAGAATGACTTTAATATTGGCCCTAGCTTGTGTGCTTTCTTGGCTTTTTTGTTTGTACACAAACAACTCAGCCTGTCGTGCATGTGTCTGTGTCTGCAGACGTTCAAATGCTTGTCATGTCATATCACAGTACAGTAAAGAATAAACAGAAGTAAACACTTGGTGGTGCTAAAAGTAAAACATACAGACCTCTAGACCAGACAAACGTGGGTCTGCTGGTGTGAGTATCATTTCCCCTGTTAGCTTTGCACACATATGCTGTTGTGTGTGTCTGTCCATGACCAATGTAGGAACATTGACCTTGTCCACTGCAGCTGTGAGACAGTTTCTCATGACTGTAGGAGTTGTTGGATGATCTGGGAACAGCCTTATACCAGTTGAACGTCCACAATCCATAATTTTTGCTAAAACGGCACTTCAGAGTAACATTGGCTCCAGGACTCGGCCATGAAGTGGACACCTTGACAACAGGTCTGGGATCATCTGTTGAAACGAGATGAAACGAAATAAAAAGGTTTCACATAATTTTCAATACCACACACTTCCTTCAGACATAACTCATGAACAGCTAGGGGCCATTCTAGAGTCTGTCCTACTGCCTATTGCAAAATGTGCATATTCTTGGCCACTGTTTTGGTTTAAGTTTGTGAGCCCTCAGGGGCCCCCTACTGGTCTGGGGCCCCAAGCAGCTGTTTTTTCCCTTCTCCTCTGGATTTGTTTGAATTTCTGTGTACCAAACCTTGGACCGCATTAAACGCCTTTCCTTTTTGAACGCTCCCTCTGAGTTTACATCTTTATCCATTGGGTGCCTATCTTTGGGTCACAGTCTGGCACCGGTGCTGCTAATAAGTTCAACACAGAAGCTGTCAGGATATCTTAAAAATCCAATTTTATTGAAATGGCAGAAATCTGTACAGACATGTTCACCAATAACCATTGAAACTCAAATATTGTATGAAAGGCTTTTGTTTGAATACAACAAACTATAGTAGCACTAAGGTAAAGAACAGAAAATGAAATGAACTTATTCAAAATCAAAAAAAATAAAAAACAGAAAACAGGCTATAACAGCATATGCTAAGTGGTTAGCTTAACGCTAAACAGAGTAGAGATTTTTATACTCTGGTTATGTTCTCATTTTTAAATACTATTCCTCGTGGATAAAATCTTCTGCTCTCGATACAGCACGATACAAGTAGTTCAAATGAAATGTAACTTAGTCTAACAAAACAAAAACATGTGGAACGTAACAATTCAACTTTACAAACACTTTGTGTACAACTATAACTTTGTTGAAGAGACATATGTCACATTTAAACTTGAATCTGATGAATCAGTTCTTTTCTAATGTGACAGATACATGAGACACCTCAGGTCTTATATCTTCCTTTTCTACTTTGTCATTGCATCACAAACATTAGAAAATGACCAAAGAAATGATCCGCCCTGTCCCAATAAAGGCGGGTAACGCTGCTCACAACTTACTAGTGAAAGAAGTTAATCGATGCATGAAATGTTCAACCAAACTTTCAGGAATACAAAATAAATACACAATTTAATTTATTTTCTATGCTACTTACTGCACCGAATACTTTTAATAATTTACAAGCACGAGCACAAAATTATCACATGACAGCTGCAAATGCTAATCAAGCCAAGATTTTTTTTTTCACGCTGCCATCCATTCCTTATGTCTATAGATACAGAACTTTATTGATCTGGAAGAGAAGCAAAGGGAAAAGAAAGATTAGTAATTTTTTAAGAATATTGCAATCTTTACCAGACCTTTTTGCCTGTTTTTAAATCAGTTGACATATACATAAAATAAATCCTCATGATGTAAGGTTGCATTAAAACCATGAGCTGTACCTGGTTTGACTTCAGAGTAAACCGATTCTTCAGTTATCGCAGGAGTTGGCTTTCCTGAGAGAGACAATCAGTGTAAAAAAAGTTCATTATACTGAATATTAAGAATAAGCCTTATGTTTGTAATTGTCATGTATGTAATGGTCATTACAATCTGTCATTATTTGTATTGTTGCAGCCATTAACCCTTCCCCCCCTTAGCCAATAAACTGATTTCAGCATCATCTTTAAGCATTAAAGTTGCCTAAGTATGCAAAATGTTCAGAAGCAACACATCTAAAACAAATGCAGAATTCAGATGTATTAAAGGCACAGTATGCAGATTCCACCACCGGGGGGCGCTCAATCAAAACAATAATAAAAGATGACGTTGGTGCTGGCAGGGAATCATGAGTTCTCTCTGCTAATCAATTTAATCAATTTTTTATTAATTTAGATATTTCAACGTAAACATTGTAATTAAATTCTACATATTGGACCTTTAATGTAAGAACACCTGACGGTTAATATTAACAATAAAAGCTTTCATCACCTGCGATTCGAAAGAAAAAACACTAAAAGAGTTGGAGAAGAAAAACTGCAGTTGATTGCTTACTTCACTCACCTTTGTTTTTCTTGGCTTTACCTGGATTATGGCAGCTGACTTGAGAATAAAGGACAGATGGATCTAAAACAAAAGACAGATTTTAGGATTGGTTTTCTTTGTAGACTGAATTTGTAATGTACAGATGGACGGGTTGAAGGATTGAGAAAGAAAAATGTAGAAACACTTGAGTTTCTATGATGACTGTACAGATTATGTGTTATCACGATGGCAGCTCAGCGAATGTTTCTTCTTCTTGCTTTTGTTTGGACCCAAAACTATCCATCTTAATACTTAATCTGTGAGATGGAAATGTTCTTAAAACACATGACGATCCGACAATAAAATGCATCCAACATACGTTAATTTAAACAACCAAACTGAGCAGTCACAGGAATAAATGCCCAAAATTTAGCTAACATTTGACAAATTTTGTCTCTTTTGACACCCAGTGGAAATATTTAGAATAATTACTGAACTGCAAGCTGACCCATTATCTCCACCAGTGTGTACCATGATGCATTTTAACATCAACTTAAAGCAGCACTGTAACCTACCTTCTGTTTCTAACCTCACATCAGAATAAATCGTGCTGTCTGGTTCAGGTTTCTTCCCTATAAGACATAACAAATGAGCCGAATGAATGTAAAAACACTTCAGTACTTTTTCTACTGTATCTTATTGAAATACTTACCTTTCTTTCCGATGTTTCTGAGCTCGATCAGAGAATATGTAACATCATGGGACTGGGAGTGGTTTGCATCTGAAATATATGTTTTGTTATCCACAAACATTCTGGGCCGTGCATAAACTACAGTTCATCTACAGTCGGAAACTATTTCAGGAAACAGTTTAGAGCGTATTGGCTGACATCATTGTCCTGGTTTCACTGAGCCAAAACTAAGTTTGTGCAAGTGTTTCACAAGCAATCGTTGCCATAACCCTGTGAAGACATGCAGCACTAAATGTTGGTTAGTTCCACTATTAAAAAAGTATTATGGAATATTACAAAAAAAGAGTCAAAAGCAAGAAAGAGGAACAGTTCCCTTCAAAGTAAAATGTACATGGTGAAGCATGTTCAGTGCAGTTTTTGATTGGAGGTTTAATGGTGCATTCATGTGGTATCGGACACATCTGGAAAACGAGTTTCCGAGTTGTAAAACGTACATGAACGCCTGCTCAAGTCGGAGCAACAACTCGGAAAAAACTCTGGAAAAGATTTGATTACGACTTGTCGAATTGTGGTCATATTCGTCATCACATGGGGGGCAAAATATGTTTTGTTAATGTTAAGACACTTTTTATTACCGGTAAGTCACAAATTGTACATCAACGTTTGGCTCAAATATAACTCATAACAGAGACATTCACACATCTTTGTAGCGTCCATACTTTCTTTGTAATTCTTACAACATTCAAACTTTCCGAACTGAAATCACGTGAACACACTGAATCTGGAAGAGCGATTTCACAACTCGGAAACTGGGACCAGCACATGGATGCAGAATCAGACCAACTATTTTAACCTTAAGTTTCAGTGATCATTTAGCTTCTTCATCCATGGAAAGTCAATCTAACTACAAAGTAACATTAAAGCAATAAACAAGATGTATGTGTCTCTAAAGAGAGGCTGAATAAGTCTAACACACTTAAACATTAGCAAAAGGATGATGAAACTTGCCTTCACCCTCTGAAGTGGCATTGTTCATAGCGCAACTACAAATGAATTATACATGATGCACCAACCAGTTAAGCAGGACACCATTGCTCAATTTAAGAAATATTATACATTGCACTGATTGCCTAATTTGCATTCCTAAAGCAAACGTAATTGTGTCGTTTAAAAGAAAACCTTTGCATTTGTTGGAACATTTTCAGTATTAGAAAAAGAATAAACTGTACCATGTGCGGTGTCTTCAGGGCCTTTGATTGATTCATAATGACACGCGTCACCTAAAGAGCAATGGAGATCAAATCAATCGAGCTAACTGCACGATAACACTTTGTATCTTTGGATGTTTAAAATAAAAGGTGTTCTTACATATAAATATTTATGATTAATTCAAATGCTTACCCTGCAGGGGAGATGAGTATTCATGATGCTGAGCGGCCGGATTTGTGGCCGAGTCCTGGTTGGTGCTTTCAGACTGGATTGACCTACAACATTGAGTAAATAAAAAGGTGTTAACATTGGACGTAATGGCAAAGTGTTAATGTAATGTTCAAAATGAGACACAAGAGAGCACTGAACCAACCTGATAAGGCATGAATCTGTAAAAAAGACATTGTGTTGTTCTTTTAGTTTGCCACCATTTCATGTCAAACATTTGGAATAAACCATCAAATGTGTAAGAGAAAAATCTTAAATAAAGGTCTCACCCTTTGACTGCCTGCAGCGATACAACAGGAGCAGAAGAATTATAAGTACTACTCCACAAATCAGCCCGACAACCACGAGAATTACAGGATATGAAGGGTTCCCAAGCCTGGACACTGCTACAATTAATAACAAATAACTGTTAATGAACTTATAAAACACTTCTTAAGATTATAGACAATGATAATTAAATGTTTTGTCATGTTGTCTCAAGCAATGGTGAAAACAAAACACAAACATGTGTAAAGAAAATAGTCTACAATGAATACATCATTTTATCGCAATCCAGGATTTAACCAAATTACTCATTCAACACTAAATTATTGAATCAATAAGGTCAATCACTTAAAGTGTGGTTACTTCCAACTAGATGGTGTATTTGACCTTTTTCTTTTTCAGACAAAACATGGTTTACATAAAATCATTCAGTAATTTGTATCTTTGTAAGGATGGGAAAGTGGCTTAGGCTAAAGAAAGAAAAAAAAATCAAAAATTCAGTCCAAGTGAATTTTTTTACAATGAAAAAAAAAGTGCAGCAATATGTACAGTACAGGCCTGGAGAAAAATGTAAAAATAACAAATAAAACTAGCAAGAAATAAGTAAATAACAGAATGTAAAAAGTGACAAACTAAAGACGCGACTCAGCGCTAAACAATGCCACCGTGGGCTCTTGCAGCGCGGCACACTCTTTGGTTACTGTCAACAATTCTCCAACACTTTGCCCCTCCAACCACCAACAACCTGCAAGGCCCTCAAGCCTCCTCTTATGTAGGAGTTGGCACCCCGACCAAAAGAGGTGAGAAATCAATTAACTCTCTGGAGAGTATTACCTGTTCTGCAAGAAGCACAAAACATCTACAATAAGGCTAAAAACACATCAAAATACATTTCAGTTAAAGGGATACTTTTTTGCTGCTTATAAAAAAATAAATAAAACATTTGAAATGATTTTGTCCGAGGTCATTCACAGCCAAGTACTGGTTGCTAGTCATGCTAAGCTAACGTTAACACAGGCCTCTAAGCCGGCTTGATGTTACTTCAAGAGTGTCTGTTTAACATTAGTGCATGAAAGTATGTACATTACTTTAGAGGGCACGGGGTATCTCCCTGACTATCCCACTCACCTGTTACTGACATCCAACTCTGAGACGACTCTCTCCCTGAGGTCTGACACTTGTAGAAGCCCTCATCAGACTTTGACACAGCAGAGATATTAAGCTCCTTTCTGGTATCATTTTGAATGAGTTTGTTATTCTGATAGAAGAACACATTGGAAACAATATCTGAGCTTCTCAATCTGCAGCTAAGACTAACTGAACTTCCTTCAGTCACTGGATGGACAGGGCTCACCAGGATAATATCAGACTCTGTAAAACAGTTAAAGAAAAGAGGATTCAGTCAGAGGTCATCAGGTTCAAACATGAAAATTAGCAGACACAGAATGATGAGAATATATTTCTTCTTTTTTTACAGAAATGCTTCAAAGTGATGATTAATCTGATGTGTTATTTTGTGTACGTGTGGCACCCTGAGTATTTTAGTAGCTAAGACTATGCCAGTTATATTATTACATCCGTGCCCCCCACTATTATTTTTCTGGTTAAATGTCATTAAGATGACTTGTGTGACTAGGAGGGATTCACCTGCTTCGGCTGTAATACCTGCAGGACAATATTCATTGTGGCCAGTAGGTGTCAGTAGCAGCATTGAATGTCACCAACTGGCGCTGTTCCCTGTGTATTGCAGGAAGTAAGCACAGTTGTATCGCATCAGACAGTCTGCAAAGCAGCACTATATGTCGATTCTCATACAAGACTGTCTTTCTGTTGTGTTTGCAGTTATGAATGCTGTGAATAAAAACACCTTTCTTATGGAACCCACATTGTCATAATTCAGTGTGCGCAACATACACCTTAACTCCTTCTTATGTTTAAGACTTTGGCATCAAATGTGTTTGAACAGCAACTGTCTACAAATGTGATCAGTATTTAATAATGATATACACTCAGACCTTAATCTTTGCTTTTATCTAATTAAGAGAGTAAACTCTCCCACACTGGGCTGCTCTTTTACTTCTCAATGTCGATGGAGATAACGTGGAACTGAATGATGTTGAATTGAATACTTGGATGCTGAAAGATAAAAACTTTAAGAAATGTAATAAAAACATACTCTGTTTAGTGATGTTGACAGCGTTGCTGAACTCCCCTGATCCAGACTCACACCAGTACACATTATTTCTTGAGATGTGACGATCTATTGTGCATGTTGATCCAGTCATTGTAGCCCTCAGGGAGCAATCTGCCAGGAAGCTGTCCTCTTGAAACCTCACTCTCCACTGAGTAGAGTTCCCCTTACACTCCAGTGAGACAGAATCAGAGATGAAGTGTTGCACTCTTTCAGGACTCACTGTGAGAGATGCTGATGAAGGGAAATCTAAACAATAAAAAAAATAGAATTAAATGAATTAGGGGTTGAAGAAGGCCCAGCAGTCTAAAGATTTCAACGCTAAACAATAATGTTTTGCTGCCATTTAACTTTATTTACGTTTTAGGTTGCAAACAGAGAAACTCGTTCTTCTGCTGTCTATAAATTAAAAGACTTAGGGCGCGGTCACACTGGCTATCCGTACCGTGCTGTACCCAAGCACGATTGCCCTCCCGCAGCGCCATTCCCCCGCTGGCCGGCCACACTACACAGGACTATCCGTGCCTAAGCACGATTACCTCTTGTACATAACCTCGTAATACAACACATGCACGCTCTATGTTATAATGAAGCGTGCTCAGTTTACAAACAGGCGGACGAGAGAGAGAAAGAGAGAGAGAAAGAGAGAGAGAAAGAGAGAAAGAGAGAGAGAGAGAGAGAGAGAGATAGAGAGAGAAAGAGAGAGAGAGAGAGAGAGAGAGAGAAAGAGAGAGAAAGAGAGAGAGAGAAAAGAGAGAGAGAGAGAGAGAAAGAGAGAGAGAGAGAGAGAGAGAAAAGAGAAGAGAGAGAGAGAGAGAGAGAAGAGAGAGAGAGAGAGAGAGAAGGAGAGAGGAGCGAGAGAGAAAGAGAAGAGAGAGAGAGAGAGAGAGAGACGCGGTCGAGTCCACAGACGCACATCAGAGAACAACACAGATCATGACAGCTACTTGGTGTCTTATATTGAGTCATTTATTTCAGATACAGACATGAAACTGTGGATTTCTCCACAATGAAGGCTGTCAGCGTTGTGTACACGTGCTTGTGCTCGTGCATGAAGTGTACTGTGCCTGAGCACGGCACGGAGCGGTCACACTGGTCAAACTAACTGGACTTTAGCGTTGAAGTGTGCTTGGCACGGTACGGATGGCCAGTGTGACCGTGCCCTTACTCTGACCTGCCATCTTACAAAGATATGACAGATTTCACACCCCTGTTTCTCCACCAGTAACTGCTGTCTTAATTGTTTCTGGGTTTCAGGTATTTCGCTTGTTTTTTCCACTTTTTTCTATGAATTTTCAGACTGGTTTGCCTAAATTTGTTAGTTTATATTGTGTTGTTATATTGTGTACCAACATTATTTTAATTATACAAGCCCTCCTTGCTGTGAGAGTAAGAAATTCGCAATTATGAGCAACAGACAATCAGGCTAGCAGGTGGGATTATGCAGGACCCCTCACACGCTCTCTTCCCAGCGTTTGAGTGGCTCCCCTCAGGACGCCGGCTTCGCTGTCCCTGCTGCAGGACACAGAGGAGAAGAGCAACCTTTGTTCCCAGGGCTGTCCAGCTCCTCAACTCCTAAACCCCCCAACAGACACCAACACCTCTCACCCAATGCAGACTCTCAGCTGTGAACTTCCTTTATATTGACATGCACCTTAACTGCCTCTGCTTTATCTGCTCTCATGCACTACATCACTTTATTCTATCCATTTTATATCAGTATTCATACAGTTCTGGTTAATTTATTCCTGTTGTTTCTTATCCATCATTACACTACGGTCACTTTATTTATCTAATTCTTACCTTACAGTTATATTGTATATATTAGTTCTGTTGTTCCATTATTCACCATGCACCTTAATAACTTATCATTTAGTATTTAGCCTACCTGCACATAGTTCTGTATATATATATTTATTTCTCGTTTACTGCACATAGTTCTGTTTACATCTGTTTACATCTGTTACTCCGATCACTGTCCACTTATATCTACTCTTTTATATTTTGTATTTTAAGTTAAGTTTAAGCTTTAAGTTGTATTTAAATTGACACTTTATATTGAGGTTAAAATGTTTCGTTTACTTGCACTGTTGTTAATTTACTGCTCTGTGTGCCTTTGAATTACCCCCGGGGACAAATAAAGTTTTTTGAATTGAATTGAATTGAATTGAATAAGATGCTTAATTCTTCAAAGTAAAGGTTCTTATTGAGAAATAATTTCAGTTTTAGATGATTTAATTTTCTTCTTGTTAGTGTATTTCATGCTACCAGAGTAAAATAGAGAGTGATGGCAGAAAGAAGCTGGGAAAGTGTAAATCACACCTGGAAGTCGCATGTTTGGGTTCATGCCATTGAAAGAGGAAAGAAGGGACATGAAGTCATCGTGACATTAGAGACAAAAGTACTGAAGAAACTCTAAGTTGTTCATAGACCACAAAAGAATAAAGATAAAGAAACAAACTGACCTCCAGACCAGACAAACTTTGGTTCACTATAAGGAGTGTTCATTTCTCCTCTTCCAGCTCTGCACACATATCCTGCTGTGTGTGTCTGTCCATGAACAATGAAGGAATACTTTTCAGTTCCATCTCTGCTTCCAGATAGCAGCTGGTAGCTGTAGGAGTTGTAGGAGTTGTAGGAGTTGTAGGAGTTGTCAGATAGTTTGGGAATAGCTTCATACCAGTAGAACCTCCATCCTGCTGATGGGTGTTTAACCTCACAGTTCAGAGTCACAGAGTCTCCAGGACTCAGCCAGAGTGGAGACACGGTGAGGACAGGCTGGGGTGAACCTGTTGGAAAAGTGATTATTCAAAGAAATAAAACCATGTAATGATGGAATATCTGATAGTACAGTATAATGTTTATATGAAAGAAATGTTACTTACTGTATAAAACCGTTAATGTGATGGGATCGCTCCAACCTGTTGGAGACTGGTCACTTTTTTTTCTGCCCTTACAACTGTAGTTTCCACTGTGTGATGTATTAGCAGGTCCAATACTGTATTCCTTTTCCTTTGGAGGTTTGAATGAGCTGCTTGTTTTCCACTCGTACTCCCACTCAGAGTTGTCTCCACCCTCGATTTCACATCTCAAAGTGATCTTCTCTCCGCTGTATATCTCAGTCCAATGGGGCTGAAGAGTCACAACAGCTCTGTTTGATACTGTTTGTGTTCAAGAGATCCCAACAAGGACACAATGATGATAAAAAAAAAACATCTTTAGCTTTTTTTTATCAATCAATTTATGGATAAAAAACATTATTACAAGTTTTCAAAAATGTTACACTCACAAATGATGTTGATAGTGACTGAATCACTGTACTCTGTGTAGTAAACTGGTTCTCTCTCTCTCCTCTGCACCTGTAGACTCCTCCCTTGGAGACACTGATTCGTCCATTGAAGTTTTTACCATCATCGTGTGTGCCCGGGTGATCTCCTCTGAACAAGATGTACGTCCAGCCAGGTGATGGAGGGTTCACGTCACAGGTCAGGGTCACAGCGCCCCCTGCTGGAATTGATGTCCTGTCAGCTCTCAGTTCAGCCTTTGGTGTTCTTGCTGTTTGATTTGGAAACAAAGATGTAAAAAGGTAAATTACCGTACCTACAATTTGGTCAAATTCAAACAGTGCTGAGCCCAGAAGTAAAAATGACTTGAAGAATTATGAGCTGAAACTAGTGTTAAGATTTATCTCTTAAATTATATTAAATTTAAAGTAGTTCAATTCCAGAAAAGACCCAAATCATGTATCACTTTAAAAAACAACATCAATCAATCAAATGTATTCATAAAGCACATTTAAAAAAACAAGACAAAAACTCACACATACATATGTGCCCAAACACAAATGCACACACAGAATACTAACAATATAATCAGACTATAATATTAAATGATATTTGATAGAAATACATCAGAAAGAAATACAAGCAACCTAATTAGGACTCAAAAGCCAACATGTAAAAGTGTGTTTTGAGGCGTGACTTAAAAGACTCCACAGAGGGGGCAGACCCTGACTGAGGGAGGAAGGCTGTTCCACAACCGTGGGCCTTGACTGCAAAGGCTCGGTCGCCTCGAAGTTTATAACGGGAAGGCGGGGCCAGGAGGCGGGGCCAGGAGGCGGGCCAGGAGGCCCATGTTTGAGGATCTGAGATACTTTTCTCACTTTGACACAGCAATCATAACTTAGGAGAGCTCTATCAATATCAACAAACATCTTCTTTGTCAAATGTGAATAACTTAGCCAATATTTATAAGAAATTATTCAGACACTGTTAGTGACATCAAAATTCACTGTTTTAAACATATTAAGACATATTTTAAGCAGATTACAAAAGATGTGATAGTCTTAAGTTTCTCAGTTATTTTGTTACCATGCTGAAAGTTAAAAAATAATTTGTCACAGCTCCCTGCAAAGACTTTAAGCAAGCAATGTTTTGTTTTCTCATTTAGATGAAATCATTTCCACCTGGACATTTTAATTATTGACAACATGGTTCAACTTACGTGTTACAGTCAATTTGAAGGGTTCACTCCAAGGCGTGTCGGTAGAATTAGGGAATCCTCTGCCGATGCACTCATAGTCTCCGTTGTCAGAATCAGTGGCTCGGCTAATAATGTATTTATTGTCTGTTGTATGTTTGTCTGAACTGGATGTTCTGTCTCTTCTCCATCCAAACGTCCATTCAGAGTCTCCACCTCCCTCAATCTCACATCTGAGAGTGAGCGTCTCAGCCCAGAATGTTTCAGGCCAGTTGGATGTAATGGTCACAAGGGGACGGTTACCTGTTCACATCACAAAGAAACAGGATTGGAAAAAAAATAAAAATAGAAAATATTACAGTTTTCATCCATGATCCTTATTGTAATGATTTAAATGTCTGTACAATATAACTGTAACAATAATGACACAACATAATGTAAATGGTTTTAAAGTAACGTATAAAGCAGTGTTAAAAGAAGCAGCTGTTGAAGAGATATAAGAGCTTACAGAGTCACAACAGTTTCTAGAAATACCAGCAGCTTTCCATGGTGAGGACAGAGTCGAGTCAAAAGAGAAAACTAAAATACATAGCTTAAAAAAAAACATTTTCAGTTCATGTTCTAGGACATTTTCTTTAAAACTTAAGAGATAATACATAAACACAAAACACTACATGTGGATGATGTTAAAGAGATGAAGTAGGTAATAAATAGAGGAACTGCAGAAATATTTAAAAAAAAAAATCAGAAATATAAGACAATCACTTACCTTGAGCCAATCCGTGGGGGATCAAATTCAGCACTAAAATAAAGATCAATAGTTCATCAGGGAAGAATTAAAGGTGTTAAATCCAGATAGAGTTTCATTTTAGGTAACTGTTATTGTCAAAACTTTCAAAAACGAGATGGTTCATCTCAAGGGGCTATCCATCAATAAACAGAATTTCTCACAAAACAACAAACGTTTGGCAGCCATTTCAATCCTAAAGCTTTTTTTTCCCAAACTATCGACTATTTACTGTTCACGCCTTGTTCAAATGTTGTACAAACAGCAAGTGCTTAACTCCTGTTGTATTATTCAAACAGCTGAACTACATGTTCATAGAAACATGACTCGCTGTTTGAAAGTCACAAAACTTAAAGAGCTCTGATGTACTCACAGAAAAAACCCAGCACACAACGCAAGGTTTGGTCCATCTTCACATCCAAAACGACAATGAAACTCTGACGCTTAGTTTTAAAATAAAACATTAACTTTACATTTCTAATAATGCAGAAGGAAAGAGGAGAAAGACAAGTAACAGTTCATTAAAATGTGAGAGCAGAGTTTCTCTCGGACTTCTGTCTCTGTACTTCCTTCCCTATTGCACTTCACACAATTCTAAGCACCAACCTCAACAAACCTGTTTACACTTCCTGTCTACTGCTCAAATAAGAAAGAGATCATGTGAAATGGCTTCTGTTAGGGGTTAAATAAATAAATAATGGCACTAATAACTAATTATTGCACATCCATGAAACATAATGCCAATAACTTTAAGACCACATACACACCTAACATTTCTAGTGTTCTATGTGCTGCATGTTATTCCAAATATATGATATTATTATATTATTTGTGTGTGTTTTTATAAACAAAATAAATAATGATTTTCAATACACAATATATGAGTGTCCTTGTCTAACACACCCTGGTGGCAGAATTACAAATAGAATGCCATCTAATGATTCACATGATCATTAATAAATAATAACCCACGACTGATCTGGTGCACTGCCTGCATAGCAGTGTGTAGCAGCCCCACTCTGACTTCTCTCCACTAATGCACGTCCACAGGTCCTGTTTGAACATGTGTGTGATTCAGGTCAATGTGTGTGAGAAGCATGTCTCTCAGTAAATCATTTTAAAATAACAATTCAAATTCAAAAAACTAAAGCCACAGTAAGATGGTGAAAAAAAAGAAGCAAAACCTCAACATGCAAATGTTCCACATTGTGGTAGAGTTCTAGTTTCTAGTTTGTTTGAAGCCCACAACACCGGAAACACTAACTGCTTATTGCCCATGACAAAGTTTTAATGTTTTCAGGTTGTTTTCATGAGCAGAAAAAAGAAGACAAAAAGATAACAATATGTTTCATCTAATCTGACATGTTACTTTAGGTTCTGCCTCATTTACCATCTAGATGTTTTTCTTTTAGTACTGACTGTAACTCGTTTTCTTATTGAGAATACTGAGGGAACAGTTGAAGCTTTCACAGCGTGCTCCAACTCGTTGATCAGTGGTTTCTTTGGAACCTTTGGTGAAAAGTTCAGTTTTACTCATCTTAAACAGAACGTAGAAACCACAAAACTCGCAACTTCTACAGAATATAAGGAAACTATGATCAAACTGAATTTCCCCATGATATAGTCGGTACTTGGTACAGGCTGACTGACCACTTCCTGTATTAACACCTCTGCTATAGGAGGCCCGCCTTTCACTCAGGCCGGACATGATGTCACTGAAGCAGCAGAATTCACAGTATTTATAACTTTGAACAACTTAAGGTAGTATTAACAACGAGTGGATGCTGATGTGACCTTATTCATATAGCACCTTTCATGTGATGAAAGCAGCTTGATGTTGTTGTTGACAATTAAGTAGCAATTAATACCAACAAGTATACCAATCGTATATGAGAAAAGCAGAAGAGAAAAAGAGAAAATTGTTGGTGAGAGGCTTCAATGCACAAGAAGAAGTTACAGTGCAAACAGAAGTTAATAAAACGTGTGGAACAGCTGTGATAATTAATTTAAATTATGTAGTTCGAAAAAAAAACCTAAGGGCACTGATGGCCTAGCGGTGAGGTAGCATCCCATGTTCGGAGGCTGAAGTCCGTCAAGCAGGCGGCCCTGGTTCAAGTCCGACATGTGGCTACTCTTGCAACTATTTTACCCTCTCTCTCAAGTTTCTGATGCTATCCACTGTCCTAACAAATAAAGGCTCAAAGCTCATAAAACATGTTTAAAAGAAGGTGATAAAAAGATATAGTAATAATAACTTTATTTATATAGCACTTCACTAATCAAGGTTACAAAGTGCTTCACCAAATGTATAGATATATACATATAGAGTATAGCATCATATATAAGAACAAAAGTATGATTATCAAAGACTGAAACTGTTGGTTGTGTCTTGTTTTTAATGCCTACTTGATTAGTATAAAATGTTTTAGAACTTCATTTTGTTTTGTTTGAAATGTTTGAAACTGTTTCTGTGAAGTGAACTTAGTAGTTAAAGGGTCGACTTCAAGTATATTTGATGTTAAAAAGAGAAGGTACAGAAAGCTTCAGAGTCAGCCGAAACCTTTTCAACAAGTTTAATCCCTCAACGTATTTTATTATAATTTGAATAGAACGTTTATATATTCTTGTATGGGGGTAATTTGTAAATACTGATTGAGTAAACTACTAAAAGGAAACTACCAATAATGTGTAACATTTAAAGCTCTGCTTTTCAAGTCAAGAAGAAAACAAAATGGCTGCTCATGGGATGCAGGACCTTGGTTATTTTCTGCCACAAAGCTGCAATGCTGTAAAAAGGTGAAATTGTTAATAATTTGTATTTCTATATTTTCAACGGTAGAGAACTTCACGTCTTTGACAGATAACGACTAAAAGTAACAACCATAACTTCTTTCAAGGATGATTTTTAGCATTCGTCTTTATTAGATAGTAAAGCTGAAGATAGACGGGAAATATGGGAAAGAGAGAGAGGGATAACAGACACCACAGGGATGAGGGTCAGAACTGCATCTGGGGTGGATGTGACCTTATTCTTATTGGCTGGTTGGTCAAAAAGCAAGAACAACCAAAAGAAACTGTTGTTCCTGTTTAAAACATTTATTAGGAACATTACAGCAGAAATACTTTAACAATACATAACTATGAAATAATTAAGATACAAATTACTGACGGTTCAATAAACTATAATGTAAATGATTATGTTGGTTGAGAGCAGCTCATCACAGATATAAAAGTAATGTTGATGTCCATCCGGGATCTTTGGAAGCCAACACTGACAAAGAAGCCGACTTTAAAGCTGCACTATCAACTGGGTGCTCAAGCTAAAATATACAGTATGAAGCAGCTGAAACAACTCGTATCCAGAGTTTAATACACAAAATTGACAGATAAATGACAAAATAAAATATATACTTCAAAAAATAAAAATAGTCAAGAATATTCTGGTAATAATTGTAAGCTTTTAGCTAGTATGAGTAATGTAATACATATTCTGTCACTCTTATTTAACCAGAAAACGAATGAACTGTACTAACCCTTGAACATTTGTGATAGTTGGAAAGCAGAGTTGCATGTTAAGTAACGATGTGAACATAATTTATGTAATTTAATCAGCTCCTTTAAATATACAATATGTAGAAAGTTATACGAACTTTTACACTTAAATATCTAAATAATTCAAAATTGACTAAATGTATGTTACAAATATATTTTTTGTCTAGTACTTACATTCCCGCAAATATTTCCAGCAGTTATCAAAGCCAGAGAAATCCTTAATATTATAGTAACAGAAGCCGTGTTGTCGTGGTGGCCACCATGACAGAGCCTCCATGACAGACACGACATGTATATCGTTGCCATGGAAACACCGTACTGTTGCTGTATGTGCTGCTGTGATAAAAACTTCATGTAAATCAGACTTGGATACATCGTCGGTAAACATATTGTCTTCCTCAGGTCGGTTTCACTCGTTTGTCTTCACTACGGTCAACTCTTAGCTCGTTTTCATCAGGGTTGGGGACAGAGTAGCAGAGAGAACCACTCCCATGATTCCCCGCCAGCCTTGATGTCGTCTTTTGTGGTAGTCCCCTGGCGGCGGAATTTACAAACTGTGAGTTCAAAGAACTGGGGAAGTAAACACAAACATGTTAGTCCACAGTATACAGTTGCTTGTATTGAAATTATCCAAAGGTTTTGTCTTTTATGTCCGTGTAGTCCCACATTTTTCTTTGCACAAAATATCTACTTTAAAAACATTCAGACCAGATATGTCTCAGAGGTCCTCTCTAGTAATCAGATGGCCAAGTGGCTTCTGTATATAGTTATGCATGTATTTTAACTCAAAGACTGTCGTTTTAAAACTAGAAACAAGAATCCAACTAACATTATTTTGATTTATTTGCTGTTGATTTAAGACGTCTGGCCTCTATTCCAAAAAACCCAGTAAAGAAATTAATATATATTCATGTTTTCAACTGTATTACATTGGGCATTTTTGGAGTGCACATGAATATAAAGGTATACACTGTACCATTTTCAGTGTCTTCAGTGCCTTACTGATTGGTTGACGTAATCATCCCCTTTAGAAAAATGAAAATCAAGCAAGTATTTGTTCATCAAAGTTTGTAAGGACAAGTGTCGTTCAAATAGACAAATGCATGACGAACATGAAACTCTTTTGTGACATGTTTTCCTTAAATTTGAAATATTTCATTCAGTGTATATTAATTTAAAAAACTACAGTACCAGCCTTGTTGTCCTCAGAGATTTGCAGTGTTTCATAGACACTGGCATCACCTATAGAGAAGTCAAAACCAAGCAAAAGTCACTTTCATCCCATTTTGGATTCATATATTTTGAAGGCTACATTAATTTCTAAAATTGTGTGTATAAATACACAATATCAAGATGAAATGCTTACCATGCAGGAGAGTAGAGTACACATCAGGTTGAGCCACATTCTGGTAAAGTTCATGACTTCTGGCAGAGTCTTGGTTGTTACTCTCAGACTGGCTTGGCCTTAAACATGCAGGATTGACAAACATTACATTGAGGACCATGGTTTTAATTACTGCTATATTTAAAATAAGTAAAGAGAGAGTTGAACCTACCTCCTGAAGCATGAGTCTGTGAAAAAGACATTTGCTGTTACATTGTTTTTTACTTTATATAAGTCACTTTGCCAATCGTTGTCAGTGCATTTCTATATTTGATATAAATAAAGCATTTAACAATTAGAAGTAAAAGAAAGGTCTTACCCTTGGACTGAATGAAATGATACAATAGGAGCAGAAACATTGTAAGCACTACTCCAGAAATCAGCCCAACAATCACAGGAATTACAGGAAATGTGGATTCCTCAAAGAGCATTTCCACTGCCATAAAGAATAACAAATAGTCACTGATACTACAATCATACAAACACTCCTTCAACTGATTCAAAGTGTTATTTCAGTTCTGGTAGTAAAGACAAAACCACTCAAATGTATACAAATAATATTCAACATAAACACATAATGTGATCACCTACGTTTAAGAATCCAGGAGGTACAAACAAAAGATTTCACTTGATTTTCCCTTTCGAAGGATACTAAAGAAATCCTGGTAAACACTAAAGCAGACAAGTGTTGGTTATCTTACTCACCTGTTACTGACATCCAACTCTGAGACGACTCTCTCCCTGAGGTCTGACACTTGTAGAAGCCCTCATCAGACTTTGACACAGCAGAGATATTAAGCTCCTTTCTGGTATCATTTTGAATGAGTTTGTTATTCTGATAGAAGAACACATTGGAAACAATATCTGAGCGTCTCAATCTGCAGCTAAGACTAACTGAACTTCCTTCAGTCACTGGATGGACAGGGCTCACCAGGATAATTTCAGACTCTGTAAAACAGTTAAAGAAAAGAGGATTCAGTCAGAGGTCATCAGGTTCAAACATGAAAATTAGCAGACACAGAATGATGAGAATATATTTCTTCTTTTTTTACAGCAATGCTTCAAAGTGATGATTAATCTGATGTGTTATCTTGTGTACACCTTACTCCTTCTTATGTTTAAGACTTTGGCATCAAATGTGTTTGAACAGCAACTGTCTACAAATGTGATCAGTATTTAATAATGATATACACTCAGACCTTAATCTTTGCTTTTATCTAATTAAGAGAGTAAACTCTCCCACACTGGGCTGCTCTTTAACTTCTCAATGTCGATGGAGATAACGTGGAACTGAATGATGTTGAATTGAATACTTGGATGCTGAAAGATAAAAACTTTAAGAAGAAATGTAATAAAAACATACTCTGTTTAGTGATGTTGACAGCGTTGCTGAACTCCCCTGATCCAGACTCACACCAGTACACATTATTTCTCAATCTGTATTCCTCTATTGTGCATGTTGATCCAGTCATTTTATCCCACAGGGAGCAATCTGCCAGGAAGCTGTCCCATTGAAACTTCACTCTCCACTGAGTAGAGTTCCCCTTACACTCCAGTGAGACAGAATCAGAGGTGAAGTGTTGCACTCTTTCAGGACTCACTGTGAGAGATGCTGATGAAGGCAAATCTAAACAATAAAAAAAATAGAATTAAATGAATTAGGGGTTGAAGAAGGCCCAGCAGTCTAAAGATTTTAACGCTAAACAATAATGTTTTGCTGCCATTTAACTTTATTTACGTTTTAGGTTGCATCTATAAATTAAAAGACTTAG